GAGTAGTTCATAGATGGAAACCCATAGTCATCTCCACACTCAAAGAAATTGATGCGTTAAATCAAGCAAAAAGAGCATATGAAAATGAGCCTATCTGGTTTAATAATCAAATTAACCAGCAAACAATAGTTGAATATGTTTAGTCACCATACGAATGGAATTGTTGTTTTGATCAAGAAAATTGGTTATCAACTAGATTTTGATCTCACAACAAAATGAGTGGTATGTTAACCCACCATAATTATTGTCCCTTCACATTTATTTTGTATAGATAGCCATAATATTTGGTTCACCAACAAAGTGCATAGTAGATATAGGTATATTGACTATTTTTCAGGTTCTTGTACCACTGAATTAATACAGATTTCGAATAAACATCAAGTTTATTCATTACATGGTGGTCAACTTCACAAAATATCTACAGTATAATTCTCTTCATTTGTAATTTCTCGTCTCCGTTATTTGAATGTACTTTTCCATTTATCCTTTGTGACACTCAATGGACGTTATATAATTGCTACCACAGTTTATCATCTTCTTCCTGCAAGAAATGTGTAGAATCGAAACATGAATTCAATATTGAATTGATTGAATTCATGAATAATACTCACTATCACATAATTACGATCATCTGATGAATTTTCTTCATCATGATTATAAATTGGGAAGCCAACATCAGTGGTACTTCTTGACCAGAGATTTCAAAATGTTCTCAATCTTCTTGTATGGTTCTGGTACTTGTCATATAAAACCTCCCTGGGGATATATCCACTTCTTCTGTACTGTATCGTACTAAATGATTCAAAAATTGAAGAGAGTCCTGAGAAAAAGAGACGAACTTCAGCAATAACTTCATACAGTGTGTTAAATCATTACCAAATTTAGTACTAAATTACAACTCGATATTGAATACAGTGATTACATAATCAACTTACCAAAGTCACTTCATTGCAGAATAGGTATAACGTAAAACGATAATATCCAACTAATATAAAGCCACAACACAAAGAACAAAATAAGACGCTAGCAACAAAATCTCATGTGGACGCTGTCGCCCTGCAAATACCAATCGGAAGATCACAAGCTCATTGTCAACCCTTCAAAGAAAGTTGGTTGATTTTAACCTACTGTTCGTTTGTCTACCAACAGTACCAACTATGATAGTGAACGAGCTGTAATAATATATTAGTTATACAACATAATATAGTTCAAATACTATCTTACGCGTGATTTGAAATAGTTGCAGGTTGATTTTACCTTCCTTTTCGTTTGATTACCAACTTTAACAGTGAGCAAGCTGTAATGATATTTTAGTTTCAATATAATATAGTTGAAATACTATCTTTAGTTCGATTTGAAATACTAATATGTTGATTATAACTTTCTATTCGTTTGTCTACCAAATATAACAGTGAGAGCTATTATGATATTTCAGTTACAGTTATAATGTTGTTATAATACTATTCCTAGTTCGATTTGACTAATTTTTACAAATTATTGTTTGTGCCACAAATATATCATCTAAACCAACTAATATCTTTGGTTGACGTTGAATTTGTTCAAATACAGTTTTTCCTCAATTCTTTGGACGATCACCTAATCATTGAATGTACCATCATTGTAGTTTTATTCAACAATTATAATGATGTAGTTAATTAAACACATTTTTTTGTCAATACAACTCAAACTATTTCTTTGAGTGCACAATATTTATTAGAATGATCAAAGATCGATCGTAACGGAACATGTTTCGGGCTTATATAAGCCCATCATCTGTCAATAGAAAGTATCAAAGTTCTAGAAAAATCAGTATTGACTCAGGATTTAGATGCAAAAATGACTCAGTAAATGAAAAAAGTGGACATACAAATAGTATAGTTAATAACAGGGCCAACAGGGAAACAATGCTCCATGATCTGGAAAACAATGGGTTCAGAAATATTAAGGAACAAAGTGAAAAAACTTACTGTCTCAAAAATGATATAAATTCATTAACCCTTACCCGTTCAATTAAGTTTATAACATGATAAATTTATATCATTTTACAGAGACAGTGAGGTTTTTCCGTTTGTTCCTTAATATTTCTAAACCCATTGTTTTCCAGATCATGGAGCATATTTCTCTGTTTGCCCTTTTATTAACTATACTACTGCATCTATATCCTGAGTCAATACAGATTTTTCTAGAACTTTGATACCTTCTATTGGCTGAATATTGACTTATATAAGCCCGAAACATGTTCCGTTACGATTGATCTTTGACCATTCTAATTGATTATTCACCTGGAATAATTCTCTCTGGACCTATTGAAAGAAAATCTAGACAGCAGAATACTAAATACAATCCAAAGTTGTTCCCGAATGGTTCTTCATGTTAAACGATATAGAAAAATGTCATTAAGTACCCTTTTTTTCAGAAGAATCATGCCATATTTACAATTATGTATCACCATGTAAGTCAATAAGTACCGAGATAAGTACGCATTTTCATTCAATATTGATGCACCACGGTGCAGATAAAATGTTGGATGGTTTTCAAATGCTTCTGAAGAATATGCAGGCGAAATCTCTATGAATCTCATGAAGTGACCTTTTTCCCATACTTACATCCAAATAAGATCTAGCTACATCATGAATTTTTGTAGTAAGTAATAATAATAATAATAATAACAACATTTTCATTTTATTTCTTGGGTCAAAAATTCCGTGACGAAGTGCGATAGACATTTCTTGTATATATGAACTACAAACATTATTTTTGCACACTCTATGAGCACTATTATTTACGACTTGACCTTCCCTGACACCCTGTAATACAAGTAGATACACTCGAAAATATCAGAAAATTATGAAATTCATTGTAACTATTTTGTTGAAATACATGTAGAACAGACACATGCACATTCGAGCTATAACAATTTAGATGAATCAAGTATACAGTGTGTCCCACTTACCATGCTCACCATGGGTATCTTTTTAACGGTGAGAGATACGAGGTCGGTTAAATGACACCAAATGTGGAGTTTGTCAAGGTCAACTATAATGTGAAAAAATATTTTGATAAAATCTATTCGTTTTCGTTTTATGCGCAAAAAAACAGATTTTGGTCATTTTGATGTCTCCTCCGTAACTTCTTTATTCATGAAAATATTCAAATAGGAATTTCACATTTTCATGGCAGTTTTCCAAAGTGATTTCGAAAAAAATATGAAATTCATACCAACTCTTCTAGAATTTGAGATATCAGCACCAACTTTAGTTTTTCAAATGTAGGTCATAGCTCACTATGACTTAGTTACAAATAACTTTTTTTCTCTTTCAGATGATGTGTCGCAGTAATAGCTTTGTGTTGATAACAACGGAGTTAACGTCATTTATACAAAAACAAAAAATTATTTGGAAGCCGCCATCTTGAATTTATGACTTTTAACAAAAAAATCATGATCTCCGACCTCGAAAAACCCCCACTTACCAATTTTGAATGGAATCGGACCAAATCTTGTCCGCCATCTTGGAGCAGCCATTTTTTTTTTAATTTCAACAAAAATTCCATAATTTGTTGTCACCGAAATTATGAACACCTGCCAAATTCCAAGTTAATCGGAGTTATGGAATTTTTGTTGAAATAAAAAAAAAATGGCTGCTCCAAGATGGCGGACAAGATTTGGTCCGATTCCATTCAAAATTGGTAAGTGGGGGTTTTTGAGGACGGAGATCATGATTTTTTTGTTGGAATTCATAAATTCAAGATGGCGGCTTCCAAATAATTTTTTTGTTTTTGTATAAATGACGATAACTCCGTTGTTATCAACACAAAACTATTACTGCGATACATCATCTGTAAGAGAAAAAGAAGTTATTTGTAACTAAGTCATAGTGAGCTATGACCTACATTTGAAAAACTAAAGTTGGTGCTGATATCTCAAATTCTAGAAGAGTTGGTATAAATTTCATATTTTTTTCGAAATCACTTTGAAAAACTGCCATGACAATGTGAAATTACTATTTGAATATTTTCATAAATAAAGAAGTTACGCAGGAGACATGAAAATGATCAAAATCTGTTTTTTGCGTGCAACAAAAACGAATAGATTTTATCAAAATATTTTTTCAAATTGAAGTTGGCCTTGACAAACTCCACATTTGGTGTCATTTAACCGACCTCGTATCTCTAACCGTTAAAAAGATACCCATGGTGAGCATGGTAAGTGGGACACACTGTATAGGAGAATATTTTCACATTCATATAACCCAAACGGTGGCAACTCAAGTTGGAATCGATATACAGAGTGATTCAAAAATAAGATGTAAATATTTGAAAGACATATTATTGGAATCAAAATAATACTTTGTATTTATATGTGTCCTAAAATGCACCCATCCCCCCAAGCTAAGCCACTGTAATTTGAAAAAAAGAGATTATCTAAAATTGAAACCAAAATAACGGATCAAATATTCTGAAAATTGGCATGCCTTTTCAGGCACTCTATTGCTTCTTGCTTCAAAAATTATGTGAACCCAGTTTTGGGGGAGTTGAAGGGGTGTCCACACTCGGGAGAGGGTGCATTTATTAAAGACACATATTTTTTGTAAAGAAAATATCTTATTTTGGTCCCAACAATACGTCCTTGGAATATTTACTTAGAACTGAATCACTCTGTATATAATTCAATATAAGGGATATTGGAATCAAAAAGTTGAAGTTCGTTTGGCAATTGTATCGAATTTGTTTAGAGCTTTCTAGTGAGTTTTCACTAGTACCAATATTTTGCCATGATTTTGAAAAAAAACTAGCCTGTAGTTACATTAGGAGAAACGTACTGGTTGTCTATTCATGTCAAGAAATGTGGTTCGATTAGTTTCCAATTTATTTCATTCCACTTGAAGCGCAAAAGACCTTCAAGAGTTCCAAAAATCCACCCTTGTTGCTACTTATATGATTGTGCCGTGCCTATCAACGAAAAATCTCCATTAATTAATTTTATGGTTTATTTTTTCTAGGTCGAGTAACATTGGGCAGCCGTCCAGGGGTGGATATCCACGTGCAGGGCACGGGGGTGCTGCCCTTGCACTGCCACATTGAGAACAGTGAGGGTGTGGTTACGATCTACCCCCTATCGGAGAACCTCTCAATCGACGGCTCGAGGGTGACAGGGCCTACACGACTGTCCCAAGGTATGAAAATCAATGAACACTCCATCACGAATGAAATAAAAACTCAAATTCGACTTCAAAACACTAAACATTCTTCACAAATAAAATATAAACTCGAATTCGATATATTTTCTCGAACGTACGAATGAAGCGCGGAAAGACACCGCTATCGTGTGTATTTTGTGTTATTTTTCTCTGAATTCACATTGACAAGACCTACACGACTGTCCCAAGCTATAAAAAACACTGAACACCCCTTCACGAATGAAATAAAAACTCATATTCGACCACAAAACACTGAACATTCTTCACAAATAAAATGAAACCTCGAATTTGACATATTTTCTCAAACGTACGAATAAAGCGCGGAAAGACACCACTATCGTGTGTATCATGTGTTATTTTTCTCTTAATTTAGATTGACAAGACCTACACGACTGTCCCAAGGTATAAAAAACACTGAACACTCCCTCACGAAGGAAATAAATACTCATATTCGACTTCAAAACACTAAACATTCTTCACAAATAAAATGAAACCTTGAATTCGACTTCTTCTCTTTAACGTACGAAAGCGCGGGAAAAACACTGTCGTGTGTTTTTTGTGTTATTTTTCTCTGAATCTAGATTGACAAGACCTACACGACTGTCCCAAGGTATAAAGAAACACTGAACACTCCCTCACGAATGAAATAAAAACTCGAATACGACTTCGAAACACTAAACACTCCTCACAAATAAAAGATAACCTCGAATTCGACTTCTTTTCTCAAAACTACGAATAAATCGCGGAAAGGCCACGATCGTGTGTATTTTGTTTTATATTTTTTCAATTTAGATTTTTTTCATCCGAATTCAGACTTCATTCTGAGCTCGAGGGTTACATACCTCACACGACTGTCCCAAGGTATATAAAACACTGAACACTCCCTCACGAATGGAATAAAAACTGGAATTTGACTTCTAAACACTTCTCACAAATGAGATAGAAACTCGAATTCGACTTCAAAACACTAAACATCCTTCATAAATAAAATATTACCTCGAATTCGACTTCTTTTCTCAAACGTACGAATAAAGCACAGAAAGACCACTATCGTTTGTATTTTGTGTTATTTTTCTCTGAATATATTTTTTTTTCATCTGAATTCAGACTTTTTCCTGAGCTCTTGGGTGACATAACCTACACGACCGTCCCAAGATATAAAAAACACTGAACACTCCTTCACGAATGAAATAAAAACTCGAGTTCGATTTCAAACCACTAAACACTCTGTACAAATAAAATGAATACACGAAATCGACTTCCAAACACTAAACACTCCTCACAATTAAAATAAAAACTCGAATTCGACTTCATGACCCTGATCACTCCTCACAAATAGAATGAAAACTCGACTTTGAAACACTAAAAACTCTTCAAAACCAAAATAAAAACTCGAATTTGACTTCAAAATTTCAAACACTCCGCACAAATGATGTAAACACTCGAAGTCGACCTCAAAACACTAAACATTCTCCACAAACAAAATAAAATCTCGAATTCGTTTCCTTTCTTTTAACTATCGAAAGCGCGGACAGACCATTGTCCTGTGTATTTTGTGTTATTCTTCTCTGAATTTAGAAAATTTTCATCCAATTTCATACTTTTTTTTAGCTTGCGGGTGACAGGATCTACACGACTGTCCCAAGGTATAAAAAACACTGAACACTCCCTCACGAATGGAGTAAAAACTCGAATTCGACTTAAAAACACGAAACACTTCGTACAAATAAAATGAGAACTCGAAGTCGACTTCAAAACTATAAACACTCCTCAAAAATGAAATAAAAACTCGAATTCGACTATAAACACTCCTCACGAATCAAATAAAAACTTGAACTCAATTTCAAAACACTAACACTTCTCACAAATGAAATGAAAATTCGAAGTCGACTCTAAAACACTTAAACACTTCAAAACTAAAATGAATACTCGAATTTGACTTCAAAACACTTAATTTTCCTCACAAATGAACTAAAACCCCAAATTCGACGTATTTTCTTTCACGTACAAATACGTAGGGAGGAAAATGTTGTGTGTATTTTACTTTATATCTGAATTCAGATTTTTCTCTGAATTCATACTTCTTCGATATGTGTACACAGGGTGTTCCATTAATACACGGCAGAAAATCACTGGCGCGTTACGTCATATACCGCGTTCAATCCATTGCAAATATACGACTTATGTATTGTCTTAATTTCAGTACACTCCTATACTGTGAAATAAAATTTTTATTTCTATGATGAATGTAGAAATATTCTCATCGGTTTTCGAGCAATAAAACACTAATAGTGCTTATCAGTATGTCACGTTATCGTAAGCTAGCGTTTTTGACAGGTGATTATTCTGAAAAAAAAAAATTGTGATGTTTCTGAATAATGAAAAACTGTATCAAATACTTCAAATACTTGGAATGATCAGAATAAAAGATATATACGTACAGATAAGTGCACAAAAATCGGCCAGTGCTGTATCTTCTGAATCATTCAAGATCGGATTTCGAAACATGGTGGGTAGCATGTATACTAAATTGCTCATTTAATTACAAAACAATGTGGTAATGACTGAGTTTCTTTCTTTTTGTGACCATTCCATTCCACTTTGAGTATTTGGCTTTTTCCTATTTGAATAACAGCTTATTTTGGAAATCTGACTACGCCACTGGATTCCACGTAGAAAAATATATAAGTGACAGTTTTTACTTTTCCTGAAAGTTGAAAGATAGCTGAGATACAGGGGCTGGTCCCAGAATGCAACATTTTCAATTTCGCCATATTATCTCAAAAACGAAGCAGGCTATGAAAATTCTGTAGGGGCATAGTGAGTTTCACAAAAAAGCAGCCAACGTTCGCAAAACCGCAAATCTCTCTCTTCAAAAATAAGTAAGCCTGTACAATCCCATTGTTTTCTATCAGATATTTCAACAATAATTTTTTTCAAAGGTACGATAAGATATGTATAAGTATGTGATATCAACGTACAGAAAACTCAAAACCATGAAAACGACCGCCGTTCCTTGCAGGTGTTATGCTCACGATCGGTCGGTCGAACTACATGCGATTCAACCATCCGGCCGAAGCGAAGCTCATCAAGTCCGTGCTGCCCAACCCGCGCATCTCGATGGCCCCCATCAACTTCGAGCCGGACCACGTGCCGCCCTTTCAGCCGAAGCACAACAGGAAGCCGCCCGTGGCCCCACGAAGGTACTTTAGCGCCACTTTATGAAACACTTTCAAAGGGCCGTTGCATAAAGAAAAATTAATCATACAATCAACTGATGCCACAATAACATTGATGTTATGTTTAATGTCATTTGCGTTGCATAAACAATCTGATGTGGGCTATATTCCGAATTCAACTGGTCAGTACTGTCAGTTGATCCACTGACTCTGCTGAAAATCTATGTTCCGAAATATAAAATCAAAAATTCACTACTGTAATTCGGGATACGTTTTCATGGTTTTCATCAGTAGTTGTTTCTCGTTTATCTGAACTAGATGTTTAGCCTCCTACTTGTTATAAATTTTGGAAATTTAATATTTAACATTCGATTCTTGTATCCTCTATAGTTTCTACGATTGTTGACGATGGCGATTCAAGCTCGAATACTTGGACATTTTGTTGCCATAAATTTCTCATGATGCACCAGATTGAGAATTGAGATTCATGAAAATCGCAATATGCCTTAATGATGATGAATTTTTGGAGACATTCCAGGTTTATTTAAGTTTATTTAGCCAATGCTGCTCCTTTCCTTACCTGCTCTACTACTTCATACTCCAGGTATTTTCTGATATTGAGAATCATTTCATTAACAACGGAAATGAATGTTACATTCCCCCTCTAAAATATGACAGTTCACTGAAGCCACACTACCTTTTGATACTCAGCAATTCCAGCAGAATGTTGAGTCGAAATATTTGGAATGAATAGTATGTCTGCTGACAAGCATCTGTCACTTTCAGTGAATTTTTTGATTTCGGAATGGAAAATCAGCAGATTCAGTACTGTCAGTTGAATTCGGAATATAGCCGTGATGATAATCATTCCATTTACTAATGACGAGAAGGGCGTGGCAACAGCGCTAATCTGTCTGCTCTTTGCGTTCCGCGCATGGGTTGCGTGCAAGAACTGTCAGATGACCGACCCTGGAGGTGAAACATTGAAACACAACCTCACTTTTCTTATTCGTTTTCAAGTGATTGAAATAGTTTTTCACAATTATTTTGGCATACGAATCGTGTTTTTCGGCTATTCATTAATTCGCTCATGCCATCACACTGTGCTGTTGTACAATGCACAAAAACTGCAGCGGAAGACGAAGGAATCCGGTTGGTACATTATGATTCAAAAGTAAGTACCTACTATAGTTAATCACATAATATAGTTTTCATTTTTGGAATTTGGTAATTTCTCTGATTTCTCATCGAAATTCCTTCTGCAATAGAAGCTAATAGAAATACTCGTGAAATTTCTAAAAGAATGCAAGAAGATTGAATTTATGCAATCAAACGGGAGGACTGGTCTGTGCTTCGTGTTTTTGCGCTATTCATTAATTCAAGCATGCCTTCGCATTGTGATGTTGTACAATGCACAAAAAATGCAGCGAGAGACGAAGGAATATGATTTCTCAGGTATAGTATATAGTAATCACACATAGTTTTCATTATGAAATTTTGTCATTCCTTATCAAAATTCCTTCTGCCTCTTCTGCAATACAAGCTAATACTGCTACTAGATTGAAAATTTCTACAACACACACGATCATACTTCGTCAGCATGTCAGACCAGTCCACCCGTTTGATTGCATCTTCTTGCATTATTTTAGAAATTCTACGAGTATTTCTATTAGCTCCTATTGCAGAAGGAATTCCGATGAGAAATCAGAGAAATTACCAAATTTCAAAAATAAAAACTATATGTGAGTGACTATAGTAGGTACTTACTTTTAAATCATAATGTACCAACCGGATTCCTTCGTCTTCCGCTGCAGTGTTTGTGCTTTGTACAACAGCATTGAGTGATGGCATGAGCGAATTAAAGAATAGGCGAAAAATACGATTGGTATGCCAAAATAATTGTGAAAAACTATTTCAATCACTTGTGAACAAATAAGAAAAGTGAGGTTGTGTTTCAATGTTGTGCCTCCAGGGTCGGTCATCTAACAGTTCTTGCACGCAACCCATTGTCGATATGCATTTTAGGTTAGGTTTATTTGCTTGATTTTCATTCAGATTGACAGAAGTAACAAAAATAATGGATAATTCGAAGAAAAAACGAGGAGCAAATTAATGGAGATTGTTAAAAAAGTACTCAAGTGAAGTTTTGCATAATACACCTAGGTATGATTTAAATATTTCATTTGATATCTTTCATTCAAAACTCATGAAGCTTTTATATTTATCTTGTCTACAGGTAAAAAAATATTATTGAATACATGGATAAAAAAAATCCAGAATGAGTTTAATTCCGTTACAACTGGTTTTGAAAACATGAATCGGGTATTGAAATCATATTTCGAATGGATTGTTTCTATTTCGAAAGTATCTTGGCCTTGGAATCAGTAGTTCTTCAGATAGTGAAGACAATGATGAGATAGACATCCTCTGTAATATAATAGTCATTGTTGTGTTCATTTACCTACCCTACCTTTTTGAAATGAAACAAGAACTAAGAAAAACTGGGTGCAATGCTCAGCGTATTTGTATGGAAAAACCGAAATGGAAAAATATGAAAAGATTGTCTCGTGAATCGCTCCAAACAAGGAACACCTGGGCTAGGAGTTCTGAATATGGTACAAAATGAATACCTTTCTGGAAACCCTGTATCATGAGAGTATTCACAAATTTCATAAGAATGAATAATGATCAGTTCACTTTTGTTCTGGACAAAATAAACTAAAAAAGATGCAAATATGCAAGAATGTATTTCAGCAGAAATGGGGTAGGTATTCAATCCACATTTCATCTTTAACAAAACATGTCAAAGCGTCTACACTCTACACTCTGAAATTAATCAGTGGACATATTTTATTTGTATTTTATATTACATAATTTACCTTTCCAAAATACCAATAAAGAGACATTACCATAACCCCAAAAAATTGTTTCTCACTTCAAATTTAAAATCAAAACAAACAATTCAAAGGTTAAATAACGGCGTTATACGCAAGCGCTTCAACATAAAATGAATGAAAAATAGGACATGTTCTATATTTCATCCAATTTTGCATTCAGCCCCTCTGTTTCTGTAAAACACGGTGCAGTGAATTCTGAATACAAATTCTCATTCAGAAAATGGATGAAAAACTGGCGCCCGTGTCATACGGATACTTGATAACGTTTTCCACTCGTCGCACTAGTTCGAACTTTTTTGGCACTCTTGTGTGGTCCACTGTGGTCCGTTTGCTGTGAAAATAACTATTGCAATCATACTTCATTTGCAGAATATCTTTCAAAAAATTAATCTTCTGGATCCTAATTGACATAAAAAATATCGACTTTTATATAGTGAAACTCCGGCCTTGATTCAGACCAATTCGTTTTTGAAGAATCTAATCACTGTTTTCATTTCTTTGAAAGAAAATAGAAAAATAGTTACAAATAGAGAGAAACTCAGAGTCATTACCACAATAGTTCATGAAATGAACGAAATTGGTAGATAACGAGAGAAAAACAACAACTTTCCTGGCTATATAACGTTTTCCACTCGTCGCACTAGTTCGAACTTTTTTGGCACTCTTGTGTGGTCCACTGAGAAATTCTCGCTCAAACTTTGAGTTTTCAGAACCGTGCTTGTGCGACGATGCTATACACATAACCTTGAATATTTGAAAGGGAAAATATTCGAAATATAATAATTACGCTTGTCTCATTAAAGTTTATTGCAATAATTTCTGAAATGATGATTGAGATACAGAAGCACTTCGTTACGAAATAGCATTTACCGAAAATTCAAAATTACCTAAATGCTAAAGAAAACTATTGAGATGTGCAGGTATTGAAAACATTTAATTGTTGAATCAGTAATGATAGCTAAGGCTAAGTCAAATCATGCATTAATTCACCATTAAGACTCTCAATGACAAATCTTAAATGCTAAAAGTTTTTATAAATTCACCCCTAATCTACTCACTCTAACTCTTTCACAATAATTGCGGTATTGCTGTTTTCTTGAATCTTCAAAGAGCATTCGAGACGGTTCACAGGGATAGGCTATTGCAAAAGTTAGAGGCACTAGGAGTAAGAGGAATAGTTCTGAAATGGATAGAGAGCTATTTAAAAACCAGAAGACAAGAATTAAAGATGAATAATGACTATTCAGATAACATAGAATGTAATCACGGTGTACCACAGGGAAGTGTTCTGGGGCCACTGTCATTTCTGAACTATATAAATATGCCAGAGGTGATAGGGAACTGTTCAGTGCATCTATTTGCGGATGATACACTGATATATTTTGCAAGTAAATATTACTTAAAACATATAGAAACTATCAACAAAACATTGGAAGCTATATACAGATAGTGTTGTGCCAATTATTTGAGGATAAACGTTGAAAAGACCAAATATATGGTAATAAGTACAGTAAAATGGTATAGAAATATTAGTAAAGAAAAGTATAAGGTAATAATTGGCAAAGACAACGTAGAACAGGTAAACATATTTAAGTACTTGGGGGTAAATGTAGATAGGAGAATACAGTTCAAAGAGCATGCTAACTGTATTATGAAAACAATATCATTTAATCTTTGGTAGAAGTCCTTCCTTCCTTCGAAATATTATTTGAAATACATTATTTAGCCCGATGTGCTCAATACTTAACGAGATGAACAATATCATTGCTGTATAATACATTAGTCCTACCGCATTCCACCTGTTGCTTCACAATCCTGTATATACTGAACCAAAATAAATTAGCATGGATGCAGAAACTTCAAAACAGCCATGGGCATTATTTTAAATTGTGGAAGACTAGTAACACCTATAAGTGGTATGTTGAAGCAACTGGATTGGCTACCAATAAAAGCTTTTCTTCTTTACCAAACCTTGCTTCTAATCTTCAAAATAAGACATACAATTGCGCCAACCTATTTACAAGAGAAAGTCAAATATAATGAGCAAATCCACCGCACACAACACTAGAAATAAAACTGACTTCCACATTCAACAAGTTGGATTAACGCAAACCCAAAATTCAATTTTTTCAAAGGGGTTGAAAGTTTCAACAATCTCCCACAAGACATTAAAAGCATAGCATCTCTAGCTCTCAAAAGGGAATTAAAATGATACCTCTGCAATCAATAAAAACCCAGTTGCCACTTTCTGACCATGTTTTTCATAAATTTAATTTCAATATGTATATATGTGACAAGTATGTTTATTAACTATTAAGTGTCATAGTCTATTAGTCTATGGCTACAATAAAGGATTTATATATATACTCTACCCCACTGCAGGAGTCCAAGGGAGTCGTTGTCGGATAGCGGTGGGGATGAACCGCCCTCCAGCATAATGACCAAGGTGTCCAAGTTCGAGTACCTAGCCGCCCAGAGCTACAAGCACTCGATATCGCCCAAGGTGTTCTCCTCCAACGTCGTCACAGTGAACACCCCCGTCAAGGACGTCATAGGTAGGCTTTACAGATCGTTTGAACCACAATTTCGAAGAATATATCATCCGAACTCTCCATAATATCATAGAATATGTTCACTTTAAATGAGTGTTACTATTACATCTTTCACATGTATAAGGTAGTCTTGAGTGAAGCTCTTTATCCTTTATGAAGAGCTTGCCAGTCTTCAGCGTTTGATATGAATTGTTCCGGCTCGAAGGACCAATAACCAATATGTTAGATGCTCAATAGATAGTGAACTGTATTTGTATAGGTGTGATAATGAAATGAGACTAATATTAGTATTACAATTTGTATTGCAATCCTCCTTCATTCATTGATTTTATTGATATTGTATATTCTCAGTCTCCGATCGTTCTATAACATTCCATACTGTTCTACGAATAATCTAAAAGAACAATAATATGATGAATCATTTGATATTCTCAGAATGTTCTAGAATACTCCGTTTCATTCTAGGTCGCCGTATATTCACCACTTATGCATACAATACAATGGATGTTTTTCAAGAATAATCATCGAATTTCATCTGAATATTTCTAGAAAGATCTAGAATACTTTATAATATTTTATGATTGTTTGACAGTACCAATCGTAAAAAAATCATCTATAACATCAAGTCTCTGAACAATCTAATATATTTCATAGAATACTATGAATGTTGTTGATATTATAGCACCTACCTGGTGTGTATAATACGTCGAAAAATATATCGCAGACTGGTTTCGAAAGTATTTTAATATTTTTATGTGAATTGAAAGACAATCCTATTATTTTGACAATAACCATCAAACTCAAAATCGACTGTGTGTTTATACAGAGTCTTGACAACATATGTATATAAAAATTGAAACTGAAACAAAATATCATCAGCTCCTCTGAATGCACCGATTCTCAACATTCCTCCCACCTTGAGTCATTTCCTCGGAAGAGTATGATTCAAATATCTTCAAAAACCATACCTTGACGGAGGTTTGCTCTTTCGTCCAGATCTTGTTATTTTGTCTTGTTTATTGATTTCGTTCTGAGGTGAGAAAGTGATACAATCACGAGCTGAAATCAAATGATCAGTATCTTCATCTTGCGAATCCATTTCTAATGGATATAATCGTTGTACGGGTCTCAAAATGTATCCAGAAGAAGTTCTCAAACGTACAACTCGTATTTCGCCATCTTTCCCTGGGAAAACTTCAACTATCTTCGCCAATGGCCAATCAATTCTTCTAGTGCAATCATTTCCTACCATGACCACATCACCGACATTCACATCGATTATTCTTGATTTCTTTTTTCGTAGTACCAGTTGTCCTAGATATTCACTTCGGAATCGTCTTCGTAGGTCTTCTCTAACTTTACATCTGTATCTGTATCTTCTTTTCAAGGAATCTGCTTCTATCAAATCTAGATCTGGAACACCAACTTCCCTTATATCCTGAAGAAACATAGCAGGAGTTAATGTTACTAGGTCTGACTCATCTTCAGAGATATAAGTGAGTGGTCTAGAATTGACAATAGATTCACAATCGCATAATACCGATGAAAGTTCTTCATATGACAAACAGGCTCTACCTAACACTTTTCTTAGGATATTTTTGATGAGGCGAATCAAACGCTCCCACCAACCGCCCCACCATGCGGCGGTCGGAACATTGAACCTCCAAGTTATCCTCTCAGCTGTGTGAAATTTTGCAATTTCGAACCAGTCCAGTGCTTTGAGAGAATTTTCTGTTCCTTTGAAGTTTGTAGCATTATCACTATACACTGTTGAGGGTCTTCCTCTTCGAGCAACAAACCTTCGAAATGCTTGAAGAAAACTGTCTGTTGATAACGAGGATACTAGTTCGAAATGCACAGCTTTGAAGATCGCGCAGGTAAATATACAGACCCATACCTTTTCTTTGTTTCGCAGAAAGAGGTGTCCAAACAGATCTATACCAATAATCTCAAAAACAGCCGCATCTCGTACTCGATCTCTCGGTAAGGCTACTGGCACAACTTCACATTTCTTGGCATCATATTTTCGACACTTTGTACATTTGGAGATTACAGACTTGATTGTTTTTCTCCCACCAAGTATCCAAAATCGTTCCCTGAGTACTGACAGAAGGCTTTGTACTCCAGCATGACATAAGCGAACATGTGCATCAAAAATCAAACGATGTACTACTGGGTGTTTTCCTGGTAATAAAGCTGGGTTTCTAAATTCTTCCATGTCGTTTCTCTCAGTTATTTTTGTCTTGATCCTCAAAATCCCATCTTGATCTTGAAAAGGCATCAGAGAGTTGATACTCTCTTCTATATTGACCAAAGCATCGTGTTGTATACTCTTTATCAGAAATACTTCAGCGTCCTCTATTTCTTGTACAGATAAATCAGCCTTTTTTCGATTATAGGGGTTCAAACAGTTGAAAATGAATCTTCTGATCCACCCAATCATATTAACAATTTTATGATATTTCGAAAAATATCTAAAAATCCAGGAATTATCTTGTTTCTTCGACGAGAATAGTGCAATAACATTCTTCCTTCGTTCTTCGGATACAGAGTCTTCGTCCACTTCAATTCGTTGTGTAGGCCACTCGTTTTCTTGCCTATATAGCCAAGAAGGGCCCTCCCACCACTTTGATTGAAGTAACTGTGTTGCTGAACAGCCCCTGGATGGAAGGTCTGCAGGATTGAGAGTTCCAGGCACATGGAACCAACACTCGGCGTTCGAAAATCTTTTTATTTCTTGAACGCGGTTCCATACAAACGGCTTCCATCTCTCTCCCAGTTGTATCCATGCCAACACTGTAGTGGAATCTGTCCAGAAGTATATGTCAATATCATTTCTTTCTATAATTTCAGTAATTGTTGTCATTAGTCTAACTCCAATTGTTGCTGCTAATAATTCAAGTCGAGGTATAGATATTTTCTTCAGAGGAGAAACTCTGGATTTAGCTTGTACCAGTTGAATTGAAACTTTGTTATTAGACTCAGATCTCAGAAAAATAACGGTAGCATAAGCAACTTTGCTTGCATCGCAAAAAACATGAAAACTCAATTTTGAAGAAACATCTGAAGCATGCATAAGCCATCTAGGGACGTGTAGATTCATCAGACAGTTCAATTCATTCAACCACTGCAGAAATTCTCGGCATATGTCTTCAGGAACCTCTTCATTCCATCCTAGCTTGACCATCCATGTTTTCTGTAGTAATAATTTGGAGAAAAGCAGTACAGGGGACGCCAAACCAAGTGGATCAAAAAGTTTATTTGATATAGACAAGATGACCCTTTTAGTTATTTTTTCGGTATTCAAATTCTTAAAATTGTCAAAACATAATCTCAGGGTATCAGTATATTTATCCCAATTCATACCAAGAATAGGTGATATGCTGGAATCTGTAGGAATGTCATTGATTTGCGTATGTTCCCATCCTCGTAGATCGAATTTTGCTCCAGCCATCACTTCCTGACATTCTTGTATGAACTTCTGTAATTCCTCTTCGGTATCAACACTCGTGATACAGTTGTCTACGTAAAAGCTCTTCATGAGTTTCAGAATAGTGTCCTTTGAATAATGATTTTCTTCGAGAGCTTTCTTCAAATGATAATTGATTACAGCTCCAAGAAGAAATGGGCTGCAGGTGACCCCGAAAACAACTCTCGTGTGTCTATAGCATATCAATTCACCATTATCTCCGTACCAGATGAATCGTAAGAAATCCCTTTCTTTTTCTTGCAGACTAATCTGAAGAAATGCTTTTCTTATATCGGATGTAACGCCGATTCGAGACATTCTGAACCCCACTAGAATCGATGGTATCAAAGATATTAAATTGATACCCTTTTCTAGACATTGATTCAATGATGGACAGTTCTTGAGTTTCGCAGATGCATCAAAAACTGGACGAAGTTTTGTAGTAGCACTAGTCAGCTTTATTACATGACGATGAGGCAAATAATGTGCTGCATGTGGAGCTTCTGTGATTGACACCTCCTCTATGATACCTTCAGATAACCATTCTTGAAGAACCTTATTGTACTCGTCGTAGTAGCCGTCGCTGTTGAATTTTTTCATGAGGTTATCTAGTCGGTGTTTAGCCAAATCAAAATTGTTAGGTAATGGAGGATGTCCTACAATCCATGGCATACTGATTTCGTACCTGCCGTCTTCGTTTCTGGTAACAGTCTTCAAGAAATGGTCCATCACGTCATCTTCATGGTCTTTCTTGGATTTCTGCTCATCAGGATCAGTGATTCCCAACACATCTAGATTCCAGATATCTGTTATAGTAAATGCTTTACTGAACAATGAAGTAATGATCATGGAATTTGTATGTTGCGGACTATTAGGAGTTGTTTGAACTTTTCCCATGAGTGTCCAACCTAGAAGTGTCTTCATAGCAACTAGACCACATTTTAGGACATGTTGTGGACCAACGAAAAGTTTACCAGCAATATCAGCACCAATAAGAACGTTTATTGAGATATTTTCATCGTTTATCTGGATACCTAATTCTTCGAGTTCTTTGGACCAGGGGCCATCATGTATTGAAACAACATCACTGCAAATGACTGCTTGATCCATAACTTCAAGACTGCAAGAATAGTCTTGTTCAAGGCTCTCTAGAATCACCCTGTAACAATCATGATGGATAACTTGAGATAAACAGCCGCCAAAAAGGGCATGGACCATTTCTTCTGATCTTATTTTCTCTAGTTGCATATCAATAGCTATGTGTTTGCTGATGTACGACTTCTGCGAACCAGTATCGAAAATAATACGTACACATCGAGATTCATGTACACCTTTCAATTGAACCAATAGAGTTTGTAAGAAAACTTCATTTTGATGGGAATGGTTTGAAAGATTCTCGGTTATGGAAACTATACATTGTGTTTCATTATCACCAGGACACATCAAAGTGGTATGTTTGCCTCCACAAGTCTTGCACTTCAAAATTGCTGCAGTTCTACATCTTCGAGAAATGTGTCCAAATTTTAGACAAACA